AAAGTTTATTTTAATAGCCAAAAAATTTATTAAAAACATTCTAGCATTTGAACTGTATTGCAGTATGATTGAAAGATGCAATAATAAAGTGAAAACTGTACGTAGTTTTTTACTTTAAATAATAATATCAAATAATTAATTGATTAAAACAATTGGGTTAATGCTTAATTAGTTTAATAATTTTACAGATTATATTTAAAAAAAATTTTTATTATTTTTAGGACTTTTTTTTGTAACACTTTTCTTACACACACCTTTAACCTAACAGGTAACTTTTTAGCCTCCTTGAAAATTTTTAAAGATTGAAAATGCATCTTTTGATACCCCAATTACCAATAAACTCAAGTTTCCCTTAGTGTCCTCTTTATTATGCACAGTGTATGACAGAACGTCAACAATAAATACATTTCTTTATTTAAGATAGCATTCAAAACTGATAAATTCTAACGACAAATACGTATTAGTGCTTCATATCTTCAGAGTGCTCGATGAATTAAAGTAAATTAGAATAAATTAAGTTAAACCAGAGCTGTATTTATTTATACTTTTTTATAAATAAAACTACATATTTTTTATGTTTGCAAAATAAATATATATGAGTCTTGGTTAAATTTTTGGGTGTTTGCTATTTTTTAAAAAAGAAATATAGTTAGACACAATTGTACTAGACATTGATCTTTTTAAAGATAAATATTCAAATAATAATTTTCATCTACTTCAGAAGAAAAAGTTGATTTCTTTGAGATGAGCTTTAGGAATACAAGAAATTAAAGAAGGATTTGGCAATGAAATGTTTTTAACTGGAAGATTTATTGAAGGTAGTGTACCTGTCGATCCAAGCAAAAAAGTTTTATTTGGATTGACAGTTAACTTGATAGCCTTTTGCAAACAAACTATAACTTTTTTTTGATTTGAAATTTTAGATATTTATCAACGACTATAAGGTATAGTAGTTTAAAAAAAAAAATTATATTTTTGTAAAACTACTATACCTTGCATCAGTGGCGGAACTTCAAAATTTGCCCCCCCCCCCCCGCAAAAGAATGTTTTTTTTGCGGAAAAGAGTTTTATAGTATAAATATTATTGAGAGTATAACTTTTTTTATATGAGGGTTCCCTGTAGCTGGTAGGCCCCCCCCCCCGCAACGCAGGGTCCTGCGTCCAGTAGTTCCGCCACTGCCTTGCATAAAATATTATATTTTTGGTTATAATATAACACTAAAGATATATCTTCAGTTACAATTTATGAAATTTTTTTTTCTCAATTCTTTGTTAAAAACATCATCGTAAGGAGAGATTTCTGTAATAGAAAAATGCTTATACATCTTCGAAAAGTTCCTGAGTCAAATATATAATAATTAAGACAAGGTGTTTGCAAAAATCAAGGATAAATCAACAATCTTTTTGTAAATATTCTTCTTAATGCGCCTTTGTTTACAAAATGTGTGCACTCATTGGTAGGCTGGGTTCTAAACGCTAACAAAAAGATAAACAATGGTGCTTTTAAACTAGCCAGACTATGTATTTGGTGACTATGTACTGATGTTTTGCCGTTAAGTAATTCAATTTTGGCCCGCTTGGAGAAATAATCAATGAGAACAACCACATAAATCGCAATTGTTTTATTGGCATCTAACTGCACAAATATAAAAACGAGTTATTGCTTTTATTGTGCCAAATAGTTTTGCTCAATATAAACTCTGAGTGGAGTGTTGAACTGTTTATTTTTACATTAAATTGGTTCAAATGACTATCTGTTTGAGTATTTGACGTATCTGTTTAAATGTTTGACGTAAATAAATTGGCATATGTGTACAATAACTTTATTATAAAGCATACATAAATTAAAGTATACCTGGAAAACATCTGGCATATTATGATTGTTTTTTCGGGGACAATTTCAAATTTAAAGGTTTAAGTTAGTTAAATGGATCTTTAAGTTAAACTTAAAGATCCATTTAATTTAGGTAATTTTATTTATTCAATACCAACTTGCTTTATTACTTGTTGTTCAAGTTAAACAGGTTTTAAGGCAGAAGGGGAGGTTTCTTTTTTTTGACATTTTTCACATCAAGTTACATGTTTGGTGATATCCTCCATTATTAAATGCCAAAAATATTTTGTAGAAATTTGCTTTCTTACAGTATTAATGTCAAAATAAATAGCTAATGTATCAGCTTTTTAAAAAGTTCATTGGTGCACTTCTTTAACAATGTTTAATTGTTCTGATCTATTACTACAACCTGCAATAAACAAAAGTTTGATTGTAGTTTTTTTATTTATGTTTTTTTTATTATTTAACTTTTGAAATGTTTTAGTTGTTTTAAAGCTATATTGATTTATTGAAGTTGCCAATTTACAAATGTTAATTTAATAACAAATAAATATTAGTTAACAAGCAACCACAACTCAAAATATAGTAATTAAATAGTTTTAAACTTTTATTTTTACTTAAGTAAATCGTTTAAATTAATAAAAAATTAATTTTCCTCGCCTCGTCATTACCTTTTTTTGCGCAATACATCAACTTATTTTCAACAATACCAAAGTTTTTGATTGCCGTTAAAAATTAAAGTTATACATTGCCGTTAAAAATTAAAGTTATACATTGCCGTTAAAAATTTACTTACTTTAGCTCTCTCATTGACAATTTCAGGAAAATTTTGTTATTTAAATATTTCTTGATACCATTAAAGCTAATATTTTTGTACGTCTTGAAAACATTATAAAATTTATCATATAAAAACTAAAAATTCAGTTATTTCCATAATATATATACATTTAAAGATAAAATTAAATACAATTTAAAAAATAATTTTGTTCTGCAACCATTTTTTTAAACTATTTTTAGAAAATCAGGCATTTTATTTTTCAGAGCTTCTCTTCAAAACAAAAGGTTTGATGACAAAGTTTTTCCGCATTTTCTTCTAAGAGTTTTACAGTGCGATTATTGAAAGTCATGTTATGCTATTTCTAAAATACAAACTGCTTTATATAATTGAAACTGAAATTTACTTTTTTTTTCTAAATTTTTTGATCAATTGTTAATTTTTAAAACATTAATATTAACGGCGATAATGGAAACGAGGCTAGGCGAAAAGACAGTATGTCTTCTTCTTTCTCCGGCAATTTATTTAATATTTACTACGTCATTTTAATTGTTATTATACGGCGAAATATTTTTAATTGTTATTATACGAAGAAATTCGAAAAAAATGTACATTAATGCATAATCATTCGGATATTTTATATTTTGAAAATAATTATTACTAATATATTTAATAGTATCTTTTCAATATTTTTGTAGATAAACGGTAATGTAGATAAACGAAAACGCTAAATACAATCCCTCAAAGCAAGGAAGTACAATAGACTAGAAACAATATACCTCTTTGATCAAAGTAACAATCACTTAATATTCACACAATTACACACACACACACACACACACACACACACACACACACACACACACACACACACACACACACACACATTTATGTTTATTATGCTTATTGAACTGTTTTTCAAAATTCAAGACACGATTACGACATGTATAATGTAATGTAATAACAAAGAACGTTACTAATTTAAAATTACTAAAAAGTTCGAAAAACATATTTCATGGCTTTTTTTATTTTCATAAACATAAATCCTTTGGATTTCTCTCTCGCTTCTGCATTTTTCTGAATAACACCAATTTAAGTTTTTTTTTTTTCATTTATTTCGATTTTCTGTCAACCGGTTTTTTACTTTCTGTTAAATCCAAAATAAAACCGTCGTTGTTTGCAACGTTAGTATTTTAAACAACCTTTGTTTGCAAGGTTAGTATTTTAAAAAAAATCAAAATAAGCTTCAAAGTAAAGAAAGAATAAGAAAAATATCTACTGTGTTGGTACTAATATATTTAAGAAAATAATTGATAAAAATAATTTAAGAAAATAATTGAGATAATTGTTTAAAAATAGCGATTTTGTTAAGACGTGTCAATAAATACATAATTTAGTTTAAAACTATAACTAGTCGATGACAGCACGTATTTTTTTAGCTGGCGATGTTGTTACTTTATGTCGATTGCTATATATTGCTGCATTGTAGCTATCTAATGTTAGGATCACAAAGTAATTTCAATAAATGTAAACCATTTTATAAACTACTGCAAGATGTCCATGCTCAACAGCATTGCTAACATTAAAGGTAGGAAAAAGCTAAATTAAATGTTAATTCATCTTCCAAAGTCCGAGAAGGCCTGTACAGTTAAGGAGACTACTTCTGTGGTTAAAACTCTCTCACAACTCTATAATTCCGAAACACGAACCTTGACGAACAAGGTCACTGTGTTGAGAGACTAGTTAAGCGCGGTGCTACAAGAGACATGGTGGGAATAGAACTATAAATTTCTCGTTTATGAAGCGAGCGTTCTACCACTACACCACTATAAGACGTCTACAAGATATAATTTTTATTGGAATACGTTTAACAAACAACTGGAGCAAACTTTTCAGAGCGCTGTATAAATATACAATATATTAAAAATGTTTAAGCCAAATTGTATTTTTAGATGTCAAGATTTGTCCCGGTTCCGATGTTTTAATTAATTATAATAATATAATTGTTTAACTGTTTCGTAAGTAAGTTGTTTGAGTGTTTATTAGTTTAGATTAAATTAAATGCGTCGATAAAACTATTGAAATTTATCTAAAATAACTTTGGTCAGCTTCATTAACCTTTTTTATTTTTTATTGGACTCGTTAAAAGTTAAATTATTATCAAACTATGGCGATAAAAAAAAATTGCGGAGCAAATTAGCAAAATTAAAGAAAGTATAAAATAAAAGTGTTGTTATCAATTTCGGTTTTCTATTTAAAAAATAATAATAATAAAAAGTTTCCATTCGCGTTTTTTAACGCTTTTTAAATGTGCAAACAATCATTGAAACAAAAAGTTTGAAAAACGACAAAATAAAAAGAAAAGAAACGAAATTAATATCCGCTAAAATAGTTTTTTACGTATTTACTATGTCGTTTCAATTATTTATAAACACCGTTAAAAAGAAATATTCGACCTACTAAGTGTTAATTAACCTAACACCTTCATTGAAGTGAATTTATTTTTCAGTTTATCTATATAAGTATCACACTATTCATATTTAATAGTTTTACATCGCTGTGCTATATTTTTGTCTCAAAGAAAACGAAGCTTTCTTTTTTCTTGCATTGGTAATCATTTTCACTTATTAAATGTTCATGGTATGAATTATTAATAAATATGTGTTTGTTTATAGACAGCTTTTTTTGCATTTGAGGACCAATAAAAAATTTTAATAGTTATACGCAAATATGAAAAAAAATAAAGCTATTATTGGTTTAAATAGGAAAACAAAACTAACGCGTTTGTATGTAATTCAAGAGCATTTTTGGCTCGTACGTTAACATTAAAAAAGATGACTTCAAGGAAAAGCTGTAAAGCAATACTCCTTGGAGACTCAAATTGTGGTAAAACAAGCTTGTGGAAAAAACATACAGAAACAGGCACTAACTATGCAAGTATTAGTTATTATATTTTGTAAATAACTTAATGTTACTTTTTAAATTTCAAGGCCTCTATAATAAATTGTCTCTGAATAAATAACTTCATTCAATGAATTTTTTTTTTAGGACCACATTCCTACTGTATTTGAGTTTTTGGAAACAATAATATTTCTTGATAAAAACTTGGAGGTAAAACTTACAATATGGGATACACCAGGTGATTTTTAGTTCTGTTTTTCATAGCCTGGATTCACTTTTTCTTAAACGCGTGCATAAAATTTTACAAAGGTTAAGCAGGAAAACAGTCGGATAAATGTGGATTTTTTATTATTATTTATATAGTGCCATAGCAAACACTCTTAGATCAGCTTTTAACTGAAGCTAATATTACTTTTTATTAAACATTATTTTTTTCTAAATTCTTCTGTTAATGTTTACACTGAAGATATTTTTACATTATTAGGTTCTTCAGAATTTGATCACGTTCGCTTGTTATCTTTTGATGGCGTTGATGTTTTTGTACTATGTTTTGATTTAAATCTACCAGAATCACTAGAAAATGTCCAAACAAAGGTAATTGCCTACTTATGCCATGTAAAAAGTTTAAACATAAGAGTAAAACGCAAATCTGGGGGTAACCTTCTCCGTTTTATTTTTTGGAAATATATTGACACAAAGTTTACTTTATAAGCCGTAAAGCGTTGGTAAGCTCATGGAAATGTCCCATAGTCATTAAACCTTTCACGTAATTACTCTCGTTAAGAATTAATTAATTTATTGTTTAAATGAAACCTGTTATTATCCCAGAAAATATTTGGTCTTAAAAAAAATGTTGTTAATACGTCTTTTAAATATATTAGACGTTTTTTATAGCTTAAAAGATTATTTATTTATAAAAGATTACGTATTTTATAGACCGAATATTTGCTGGGATTGGAAACGTATAAATAATTAAAAACGTATTGAATGTAACCGATATTTCAAACAATTTTGTAGTATATAGATTTATTTTTGGTCTTCTTAGTATCATTGTTTCAAAAAAAAAAAGTTCTTTTACCTTTCTTTTTCTCCTCTCTTAGCTTTTTCTAATTTGAAGCATTAGTTATTAAGTTATAAGTATTTTTTATATACAAAATTTAAAATTTTTTTTAAATATGTATATATATATATATATATATATATATATATATATATATTTTATATATATATATATATATATATATATATATATATATATATATATATATATATATATATATATATATATATATATATATATATATATATATATATATATATATATATATATATATATATATATATATTGTTTAGTGGGCAAAAGAAGCCAAAACATTTTCTCCTAGTACACCCATCGTTCTTTGCGGTTGTAAATGTGACTTGCATGATGTCAACAAATGTGATAAAGAAATGGTATAATTTTTTTCAAATTCTTAATTTTAGTTTTGTGTTATTGATATTATTGTAATAAACTGCACAGCAATAGAGATCACAGGTGCAACAATTAAAATGAATATTTACCGCAGCAATGCGTAAAATAGGTGGGAAATAAGCTTGCCTATTGATGAAAGACGCGTTTAAGACGTATAAAATACGTCTTCTGTCATCAAGTTATCTTCTTTCCACCGAAGAAGGGTTAAGGTTAGGGTCGTCCCGGACGGGGGTGTTTCACCCCCCTCCTTAAAAAAAAGCTGTCATATAAAAATTTGAGTTGGTACATTGAGCAACTTTTGAACTATCATAGGCAAATTGGAAATATTAAGGACCTTTTCCTTTTTTTTTCGGTTGTCTTTAAATTGGAAAAAAATACACACAACACCCCTCCTTATGGAAGACCTCTTCGCGATGGCCCTGGTCGAGATACATCAATTTTCGCCAATCAATCCTCTGGTAATTAGGTAAAAGAAGTTACTCTAATATTTTAATTTAAATTTTTAGATTGATAAAGTAATACAGCAAATTGACTCATCTGTGTATATCGAGTGCTCAAGTCAAAACAATAAAAACGTCGAAGAGATTTTCAAGACAATTTCCTTACTCGCAATTGGCGAAACCAATAAAATAAAAAGTGAGTTTAAATGCAAAACTAAAAAAAAAAACGTAAACAGATGTTGCGTTACCTAACCTTACGTTATTCAGTGTACCTACGTATCAAATTTACATGAATTTTCCAAAAGTGAAAACTTTTTATTTTTGTGCTTTATTTTTTATATCTTTTACATTTTATATACTAAGTATTGTGAAATAGATAAAATATGTCATAACGCATAATAGAATACATATATTTTTTCGTAATTTATACTGCAATCTGTTTATAAAAGATTTATAGCTTTAGCCAGATTTGTAAAGGTGTCTTCTCTCTTAATGGCAGTTGGGAGTAGAATTATTGCGGAAGCGATTTTATCAGTATTAGAGTTGAAGGGTCTAAATTTGATTTGTTGGAACTGGTATCAGAGTAAAATAGAGGTGTTTTAATTGCAGGTCTTATGAAATAATAAATAACGTAGTTTCGTAGACGGTCAAATATAAGGAAAAATAGGGATACGCAGTTAACACGTTACAAAAGAAAATTTTAAGTCAACTTGTAAGATTCTAACAAGATGCATAGAGTAGATTAAGGTAGTATAAGCACCTTAGTGATATGAGCATACTTAAAGATTTCTTGGATGTAAGCAGTGAAGTAAAAATTGATTTGTATTTTTTGAATCTACTTTATGTGGTGATAACAGGAATCGGTACAATTAGCGTAATTAGCGGCTATCATCTAATGGAGTAATTAGCGGCTATCATCTAATTAAAACGCTGTTAAATTTTTTGCGTTGTTAAAAAAATATCATGTGCTAAAATAAAAAAAATAATTTTTTCATAAAGAAAAATATGTTATCCAGTGTTTTCATTGAAATCACCTAGTTTAAAGTCCTAAAAATGCGGTGGTTTAAATTGCTTTTTTAATAAAAGCAATGTATAATAAAATTTTTTAATATAATAACAATGTTAAATATATTTTTGCAATTTAAATCCAAAAATTTTGTATTTTTATCGTTTAAAAGTTTGAGTTAATAAAATTGAAAAAATAGCACATTAATTTTTTATTGCGTAAAACAAAGTTGTAATGTTTCTATTAAAAGAGATTGAAAAGTTGAATTTTTTACGATAAGTTTTGTTAAAAACGAGTCATTATTTTCCACAAATTAGTTTTAATTGTGAGATTTGTATTTCTTTACTTAACTAATGTTATTTTTATGAGCCAATATAAGGTGTTCATATTATGTGGTCTAAGCACTTTCGCTACTTTTTAAAACCTCTGTGTTTTTAAGAATGAATTTATTGTTTTTGATACATATGACTAAGCCGTTATACAGATGTAAAATGTTATACAAAAAGTAACGGAGAATAGAAAATATTATATATAAGAGAATCAAGTCATAAAGATATGAGTTAAAAGTAAAGGTATAAAATAAAATAACTGTAATGAGTATTGAGGCTATAATTACATACGGCATAAATTATTAGAAGTTTTCACGCTGATTTCTAGTAATATAACTATAACGTACAGATACGGTGTAATATAATATAATTATAATACTTGACTCTATTGTACTCTATTAATATAATGCAGATATATTACACATCTAGCCAACCCAGCCATACTACAATTGACCTTTGATGGATGTAGCATCCATACATAGGATTTATATTATTTTTTGGTTCTAAAAGTTAGTTCAGCCTTTATTACATATACAAATAAAATGAACTGGGTCTCCAAATATATAACTGGATCATTAATAATGATCCCTAAAAACTGTTTAATCAAAAAAAATTTAATTCAGCATTATTATTCTTAAAAATATTCTATTTTTGCTGAAGGTACTTAGAATACCCTAATCTACCCTATATATAAATATCTATTGAGTTATAAAATTCAGCTTTGCAGTTTGTGAATTGCTATTTATTTGTCAATATTTATAATAATTTTTAGTAATTGAACAGTTTTTCTTATCAGCAAGGAGAATAATATATTGCTAGTTATACATTCTATACATATTTAACATATTTAAATAAAAGCATTTATTTTCAATTACCAAAACCATTAACATCCTTAAAATATTAGTTTTTTGATCAGTAAAGTAACAGATTCCCATATTTTAGTGGAGCCTTATTGTTTTAATTGATAAATAGTTAGTTTTTTACATAATAACAATGATATTAATTAAACATATCAATAATTAAATTCAATATTTTATTTAAAATTAAAGAAATAACTCTAGATAAATATAGAACATATATAGTAAAAATAAGTTGTAATATTTGCGTGCAAATATGACTCAATATTAAATATCTTGTACTTGTTGCCGCGATACTCAATTACATGTTTAACACCATTTTTTTTAACAGAAAATAAAATTGATACAATTAAGTCCGGCTCAAGTATATATTCATCGGTTGTTCAGTAGTTTTTGAGTATCTAGGTTCATAATATTTGTATCTAAGACTGCAATATCGCATGAACAAGTTGTTCCGTAGCTTTCGTCCTTGTAATTGTCGCACTTGTCTAGCCTTACTGCACACTTTACACTTTCTACACACGTTAAGAACTGCGAACTTACTATTGTCAGTGCGTTTGCTGTGACGATTAGACTCCTAAGTTTGTGAAGAAATCTTTCTCGGACAATACACAAGTTCGGAGTTTTGATGTTTTTTCTATAAATATTAAACGTACTAAAAGCGAAGCAAGCAATCTATAATAGTGGTGGGGTAGCTATAGTATTGCTATCATAACATTTCTGTATAAGCTAATGAATGGTTTAGGAATTCTAGTATTATTATGTATTTGAAATTCTTTTTTATAGTACTTTAAAAATCGAGTTAAATTGAATGCGTCCTAATCTTTTGTTATCAACATTTCTGCTAACCATTTTGATTATTTTCTTACATTCTTAGTTTACATTCAATTATATTTTATAATACTTAATAAATTGAATAAATTGATTGAGTTAAGTTTAATATGTCCTAATTGGTTATAATCAACATTTCCGATGTCTATTTTGATCATTTCAAACGTGCGCTTATTTCACAAACGTTCTAAAACTTCTCTATATTCGGTTGTAATTTTGTTGAAATTCTACAAGTTAAAGTCAGAAAAATTTTCTTATTTTTTCAAAAATATTAAATTTTTTATGAATATATATATAATTTTTGTTAATTTAAAAATACTATTTAAATCTTATGGTTGAGTTAATATTTTGTCATAAATTTTTGACTATTGTGAATTTGGTGAAGTAATATAGCTGTACGTGTTAGTTGTCACGTAGAGATTTCAACACGGCGAATTTAACTTTTCATTATCGTCTGTGTTTTATCAGTTTTATCTGTATTTTATTTTATGTCTTGTTGTATCATAATTTTTTTTCTTTAGTTTATTTCAAATCTGTTTTACATATAAAAATATATATAGAAATTAGGATTAGATAAATGATAAAATTGAGTCTACGTTCTGGATAGCCTACCAAAAGTTGCATACGTTTACATATGGGTGAATTCTTAATTGTTTTTGATTTTAAATATTTAATGTAGAGTTTTTGTTTAATTTTAGAAAGTTTTTGAACACAATTTGCAATCAATTTGTTGTTTGAACTTATTTGTGTTTATAGTTCTACTTTGAAAAACTTATTGTTCTACTTTAGGAAAACTTTTTATTTTTTTATTATTTGTAAAACTTTCAAATGTTTTAAATCTTCTAAATATTTCAATATAAAAGTATTGCAAGTTAAAATCTACTTCATTAAATACTAAGGGATTTTCCATAAAGTACGTACGCTCGGAGGAGAAGAGGAGGTCTGCAAATGGCGTAATGAGATGGGAGGGTAGTGAGTCAATTGTAAAAGAAAGAAGATTCTAAATTTGAAAAAAATGTCGTAAAATGTTTGATAAATAGTTTAAAATTATAGCTACTTTTATGGAGGTGGAGGGTACTCAAAAAAGCGTATTGCAAAATTGGGGTGGGGGGGGGGGTGGGGTGGACGAAAGAAAAGCGTACGTACTTTATGAATGACTTCTTAGTGTTTGTAAAATGCTGATGAATAGCATAAAAACATTTATAAACAGTTCCAATAAAATTATATAAAGTAAATTAATATTAGTTGTATCATAAGCAATTATCCTTGTTTAAAAAATTGTTTTTAAAAAATTGTGGTTAACTAGTTTATTAGTTTTCAAAAAACACAACTTATTTAATATATTGTCCTAAACGTTACTACATAATTAATCGAAACTGCATTCAATAATGAAATGCAGGGCCGCCGAGAGGGTGGGACGAATAGGATAGTTTGTCCCGGGCGGCAGATATTTAAGTGGTGCCAGATGAAAAGAAGGTGCTTTAAAAAAAAGCCCTTCATCTGTAATATAGGGAAATTTTGATAAATAAGGGCGCCAATCAGGGTTGCTGTCCCAGGCGACGTGATGGATCTCGGCGGCCATGATGAAATAATATAATATTTGAAATTGTATTATGGCATATTCATTGTTCTTGATAACTTCGGTACACCTATGAGGCATTGAGTCAATAAGTTGGTCAATTTGAACTTATTTAATACCAGGCAGACTAAAATTCAATATATATAGTTCATCAAAATGACCCACAGTGGTTCAGAGATTGATCAAAATATAAAGGTAAACTAAATTTTATCCCAAATTTATCAAATTTTTTACTTTAAGTATTGTACTGTTTTACGTTGTCTTTTTTTTTTTTTGCTTTTTTTTTTTTTGTTTTTTTGTTTTAGTTTCTTATTATGGTATTTACTTAAAATTAGTATTTCTGCTATAAGTAAATATTTCATGAAAAGTAAAATCTATTTCAGAATATATCTCATAAAATCTATTTCAAAATACAAAAAAGTCAAAACGAAATGCCGTATATTGACATTAGTTAATTAGTAAAAATAAATTTTAACTTGAATAGAAATTATAAAACTTTAAAGTTTAAACAATATATTAGGGATTATAGATACATTTAAAATCTCTATGAAAATAAATTTAGAAATTAATTTATAATAATGAATTTTATAATAATAAATAAAAAAGTTTAAAAAAAAAAAAAAAAAAAAAAAACTAACAGCTCTATTTGTGTTAATAAGGTTACCTAATATACAAAATATTTCACGAACAAGAGATAATCCACTGTTATTAAGAGTGTTAGCCCTCCTAGCCTGGTAGGAAGTTTTAAGTTTTACCAAGTCGACTTGATAAAATTTGCTTTCAGTTGTGTGGCTGACATTTCCAACTTCTGCCGTCAGAAGTTGGAAATGTCAGCCACACAACTGAAAGCAAATTTAGTTGCTTAT